GTCAAGTTGACTAATCCATGATGTCATAATTAAATAAAAAACTTTTAAAATATAAATAAATAACAAATATAGAAAAATTGGGTACAAGAAAAATAAGTGTGATAAATAATAATTGCTTTGTTGATGTTAGAAATAAAATGTAAAGTTTAAAGCCAGCCCAAAAATGAAATTGTTTTTTTTTTTTGTGGCGGGTCAACAGTTCAACCTTTGAGGTCATATGTGTTAACCATTGATTTCATAATCAAATAATAAAATTTTAAAAATATAAAAAAAATGAAAAAATAGAAATTCTATAGAAAACATTTGAACGCATCTCTAATATTTTATACTAGTCATATTAAAAGTTAGAAACGATAAATAAGATTTTTTTAATATTTTATTGATGATATAAATAAAATACAAAATTCAAAACTAACCCAAAATTGAAATGATTTTCCTATTTGATGGTAGATCAAACCAACATTTCAGGTGAACTGTGCCAACTCATGAAGTTATGACTAAATAACAAAGTTTTAAAAAGATAAAAACAAAAATATATAAATTAAATAAAAAACATTTGAACTTATCTCTATATTAATGAACCATAATAAGTGTGATAAATAAAGATAATTTTTATAGACATAAAAATATAAAATATTTTAAAAATATATTATATATCATTATCATCATTATGAGGAAACTTGTCACATACAAAGAACGTATACATATATACTAATACTACATAAATTTTGTTTGGGTCGAATGGGCGGGTATTACTCAATGTTCATCCAAACCAGCCCATAAGCCCACTCGCCTAATTGCCATCCGATTTGCTCCACGGCCACGTGTTACAAGTTGCATGTTCTAATTTCAAGAGTCAGAATCATGGTCCCGGCTAAAGCAGTTGTATATAATCAGATAACACTTTTAGCTGAGCTTCTTTTATGCGAAAATACTTCATAATTTCACAGTTAAATTAGTGGTATAGTTTGGTACATAGCTAGCCAGACTCACTTATATGTAGACAATGTTTTTAAACCATCGTTGATCCGGATTATTGAACCATTTGATCCTGAGTATCATTATGGTCTGCTGAGTGGCATGCCCGATCTAACATCTGATCCAATGATTTCGGATTCGATGATATACTTATATAATCAGATTGGATTCGTACTTGATCTCATTTGATCTGATTAATATCTGAATCTGATTATATTATAATATTTATTGATTTTTAATATATAAAATTTATATAATTATATTTAAAATTATAAAAAATATATTTTATATATTATGTTATATGAATGTATATATATATACATAATAAATTCGGTGTGTTATATTTACATTAATTTATTAATATAAAAGTTGAAAAGTAATTATCTTTTTAATTTTTTTTTTGTATTTAAGAATATTAAAGTAGAGTCAGAATAAATCCGAATCCATTAAGATTTTAATCCAAATGTGAGGTCTTAAAATTTGATCAGATTTAGATGGAAGTTTTCAATAATCAGATCAGATTTAGATTTTGTTAAATCCGATCCGATTATAGCCCTAATTCGTGAGTTGACTTTAAAAAATTCAAATTAATTTAAAACAAAGGCCGAGTTTGGAAGGAATACAAATGCAAATATGTAGAGTGTAAAACCTTATATTTTGTATGTATTTATGCTGTACATATTTGCATTTGTACTCATTCCAAACTCAGCCAAAAGAACAACATTAATGACATTACAAGTAGACCCATTCAAACCGGATGATTGAGCTCAAGAGCAAGAGGAAAACGCAGTTCTGTTTCTATGTCAATTTTTTAAAACACCGTATGATAGGTATGGTAATTTTATGGCCCAGCTGATTTGTGTTGGACAAAATATAATATTAGGCGTTTATATGAAGGGGAAATCGGATTTGGTGCTCACACCATCTCACAGCCCTTTCCAGTAGTGCATTAAGAACATCTCCCATGAATAAAAATATACAAGTATGGTGATATTCCCAATGTATGGCTGAAAAGGGCTGTGAGAATGGTGTGAGCATAATTTTGTGAAGACTGAAACTGTCCCGGGTTTTGATCACATACCTTCGTGCATCATAGATACTACTACCAAAACTTATGACTGTAGTTTTATATGGGTATGCACTACTATTGTGGTTGCAGCACAAGACTGGATTTGCTACTCACAGAGTTCTCCTTGCACTAACCTTACAACACAATAAATTCAGTTGTGAATTGGAAATATTTGTTGTAAGGACGGTGAGGAGCATATCCGATTTTTTGCAACACTCCCTTGCAATCCCTAGGGTGAGCATTGTTCGGTTAAAACCGAAAAACTGAACCAAAATTTTTGGTTTTGGTTTTTTAGTTTTCAGGATTAAAAATTTGATTAACCGAAAAAATCAAATTAATCAAAATTTATTATATACATAATATAATATATATTATAACATGTATATAATATACATTATATATTATATGTAATATTAATATTAATAAAATTCGGTTTTAACTGCAATAACCAAAAACCAAACCAAAAAATTTGGTTTCATTGTTTTCGGTTTTTTAGTAATTCAGTTTTGGTTTGGCTTTATACTTTATAAGTTCAGTTTTTCAAAACTTGATTTATTTCATTTGGTTTTTAACCGAATAAACCAAATGCTCACCTCACCGATCCCCTAATTAATTACATGGTCGTGATATGTTATGAACTAGTAAGCACGTGCTTTTTATGTGACAATTTTTACAAAAATTTGTAAATAATACTTTTACAAAATTTTGTACATTTTTTGTTTGCTTTTAAATACATGGTTGTGATATGTTATTTCGTTTGCTTTTAATGATGATGGTGATGATGACGATAGTAAATAATACTTTTACAAAAAGTTGTACATTTTTTATGTTTTTATGTCTAACAATTTTTTTTTCATTTATCACACTTAATATGATGAATATGCAATTTTAGAAATATATCCAAATGTTTTCTACAATTATTTTTGCATTTTTTATACTTTTGTGTGCTTTCGTTTTATTATTATTATTATTATTATGACACGAAGGTTTACACATTTGAGGTTGAATTGATGACTCACCACCAAACAAGGAAACAATTCCATTTTTAGGTTAATTTTAAATTTATATTCTATCATCAATAAAAACAATTATTCTTTGTCACAGTTACTTTTTAATATGTCAATTAATATAAGATTCAATTTAAGAATGAGACTTAATACCATAAGTATATGATGACTTAATGGGAAGGGAATCAAATGAGGAAAATTGTGGTAGTTCAAATTACATTTTGTACCATCACAATTAGAAATAGACCAAATTCAAAAATAGACATTTTAGTAAAAAAAAACCCAATAAATACTAATAGAGGTTAATAACTTAAATATACGACTTAATGAGAGGGATTTGAATGAGGAGAAAAGTAGTTCAAATTACTTTTCTATCCTTAAAATAAAAGAGACCATATTAAAAAACTGGAATATTTTACTCAAACAAAATTCCTCTCATTCACACTTTTAATTATAATATTAATTAATATTAGTAGTGGTATAGATTTATTTCCATTTTCATGTTTGATTGATAGGTTGCAACTTGCAGGGAGTGCTGCGACCATAGTTGCCAGAGATGTTCTCTCGTACTTTTAGCTTGGTGAGCATTCTGCCCTGGAGCATTGATGGCATCCCCACTGGAGTGAGAATTCATGGTGAAGGAACAGAGTTTTAACCTGGTCGGGGTTGGGTTGGGTTGAAGCTAACCCAAGTTTGACCCGAGTCAAGGGTGCATTAACCCTAACCTGAACCAACCTGCCTCTCAACCCAATGAGACCAGATATTAGAATATGAAATCCCAACCCAACCCAAGTAACGTGATTTTCATAATCGGTTGTGTTGGGTTAAGTTGCCTACCTAATGCCTAACAAACTACAAATCTGTAATCTATAATTTACAATTTATGGAAGTGGTATAAACTATAAAGAAAACACTCACAACATTTTTACTGTCTAGACATACTAACAAAGAACAACGTGGTGTTTGAATAGACTTTTTAAAAGCTGTTTCGTATTTTTTGAAGTATACGTTGATGCTTGTTTTTGAGTGTCGCATATGTGTCACTACTCAATAAATGGAATTTCTTCACATATCTAGTCTGCTCTTTTGTTTATTTATTTATTTTTAATTTTCTTTTCATATTGGGAAGGAAATTTTCTTGACATATTTGATGATTTATTTTTTTATAATTTTTCAGAAAACCCAATCTTCAATTATCTAATAAACATATTTTTGATATTTTTGGTTATCATGTTTCCTTTTAATTTTTAACAATTTTTAGAAAAAGAAATCTAAATAACATATTTTGAAGGTTCTTTGGAAACTTGTTTAAGATTACTTTTAATGATTCTTTTTATTTGATAGACATTTTTATTTGTTATTATTTTTTAGAAAACTGGTAACTTATCACCCTAAAAGAAAACCGAATCAACCTCCAGCTCGATTTAAAAAAACATAGTTAAGATTTGAAATAGCATGGATATTATTTAACTTCTAAGTTCTAAGAAACATTTAATTCAAAGAAATAATGTCATTCAGAAAATCAGAATGTGCTTTTTTTTTCTAAATAATGTACAAAAAATGAAAATGAAGACAACTAGATCATTAAAATTTGTTTTATAACTATTAATGAGATTGATAATGATTTTCAAAGCATATACATGCATATCATAATTTTCCACCACTCTTTTAACATTTCCTAAATACATTTGGTCATTTGAGCACGGGGTCCCAAGCCAAAGCTGTGCTTGCAATTGGAATCACCTCATTGCAAGCCAAAATGGACCTTGGAGGAGGTAATTGTTTTTTAACTTTTTAGACAAGCGGATTGGGTGAATCAACTGAATCAATATTCTATTCTCCTAAAACAATCATTTTGGCCTTTAACCTGCCAAACAGGAAGCATTCGCATCCCCCACAATGCTGATCATTCTGTACAGTCACTTGTGTATAACATATTCAGCCACTTGGTCAAAATTTCAGATTTATTTCATTAGCTATACTCACTATGTACATCAAGGGATTCTGCCATTAAAAGAATACAAGAAAAAAGAAGTGAGAGGGCGCAGGCAAAAAGGATTTGACCTGTTTTGTTCTGCTTAAAATTCAAATGGAATTTGAATAGGTAAGTGCTAAAAGGTAGCACATGGGATAAGAAAGAACTGATTAGAAAATGAAAGAACTTACGCAGGATGTGATATATCATGTAAGGCGTCCAGAATCCTCTATCATCATTCCTTTGAGACTCTTTGCCAACCAAATTGCTGTCTCCCGTGGAGAGACTTTATCCTTTCCAAAAGGCTTTAAAACAACTGCAAGTTCTTCCAACCTATTTTGCTGCAACAACTCTGCAGACAGTTCTAGCAGCCCTTCAAGTGCCTCGGCCCTTTGCCTGAATGACTTTACATCCAATGTTTCCTTTTCTGGGGTTTCCTCTCCCTTTACACCAACAACAGTAGCATCAACAGAGGAATTTGTTGGTTCAGACAAATCAGGTTTTGGAACCGGTAAGGAAGGGCTCCTTATATCCATTTCTGTGTTGCCAGGACTACTGGAAATGTTTGATTTTAGAGTCGCTGCTTCCAAGCAACCTGATGATTTCAGAGTCAATGGTGGTGTTGTGTTTCTAATCTCCACCTCCTCTCTTACTACATTTAGCAGCTTCCCTACATCCATATTTTGAACCCCTCTCTCCACAGTTTCCATCACAGGCTGCTTGCTCCCCACCCGGAAACTGCTGTGTCGTATGACATGGATGACATCATCAAAGGCTGGTTTTAAATGGGCCTGCACTGCATTTGGTTTATCAATTGTTGGATTTGGCATTGTTGGAATATTCTCAGGATTCACGTTCTTTTGAGTTGCTGAAATTGGTGCAATCTCTGTTATTGATGAAAGGAGTTCTCTCACAGTGAATTTGTCATCACCACTAGGTGTGGAAATAAGTTGTGACTGTTGAGTTGTATCACCTCTATTGCAAGGCCTACTTATGGAGATATCATCCTTGCAGACATACTCCTCAGACCCTGGGAAGGAGGGTTGTAGACTAGCTGTGGAACTAACTTCATCATTACTGGCAGTACTCTTCTGAAGATCCAGATTCTCCTCAGGTATCTTCATTGAGAATAATGATACAGGCCTATAATTATGCCCTTTACTTTCTACTGTAAGATTTTCTGAACTGGCAGAATGTAGACATGAAGCAACTAAGCAACTAGCTGGATGAGATTCTGAACTTTCAGTTTGTGTGAGTTTCTCATGGAGTATCGTATTTGATGAATAAGAGTTGTTTTGTCCAGAATAGTGTGGTATAGGGGCTACTAGCTCTTCATATAACTCAAGAAATTGAGTTGACTTCGATGATACCAAATTGGTCTCATCTGTTTGTAGTCCCTTAGAATTGGTACCATCTGTTTGTAGGCCTTTGGAATTGGTGTTGTCCGTCTGTAGTCCTTTAGAATTGGTGCTACCTCCCTGCAGTCCTTTGGAATTGGTTTCGTCCACCTGCAGTCCTTTGGAATCTACCACTGGAGTCATTCCAGAGTCCTCAACAATTGGTGCTTGGTCAGGTTTTAAGACATTTGATGGCACACCAGAAGTCCTTTCAGGCTCTTGGGTAATCTCACTTGGGCCTGGTCTCATGTCACTGTTGAAAGGGATTGAAGGCCTCAGAGGCCCTGAATGTGATGATCGTCTGGCCAGGATAGGAGGACGTTGCCTTGTCTTGGAAGGAAATCCATCATCTACAGCTTGTTTGACAAGACCGGGAGGTAAAATCCCGTCACACTTGGCTTTAATCTTTGGTGAGGAATCAAATACAGGTAACTGAAAAACACAAAAGACAAATGATGTCATTTCAAATATCCTTATACAGACAAGAATGATGAAACTAGAGAAAAGGGAAAAAGAAATGTTTTCACCTGGTGCTTCAAAGGATGTGATCCCTGGACACGTTTCACAGAATCACAATTTGCCTTTGCTGGAACACTGGGTGCCTCTGCATTCAACTTTGAACCAGGAGGAACTGCACTGGGTTTAGGGACTTTGGGTGATGCTTCTATATTAGCTTTTTGGTTGGATATACCTCCAGCCTTTGCACGGTTGCCTCTCATTGGTGAGCTATTTTCTCGGGCTTTCCCCTCTTCTTTCAAAGACATCAATATGTTCTTAATGATTTTGGGCTGCTTTGATTCAACTTTGGGTTGTTCATCACGAAATGGTTTCACCACTTCTTGTTCATCTATTTTGATAGAGAATCTGTGAGTTCCATGTTCATTGCTTGTAAAGGTCTTCTCACTGTCTGCTCCATCATCAGTTGAAGCCATATCCATGTCAATGGCTTTGTGATCACAGTTGAACACCAATGCTGAGTTGTTTTTCTCACTTGAAATCAAGCTATCTTTATCACTGCTAGAACTATTACTGTTTTGGCTTCGAGCCATGTTCTTCTGAGAATGACGTGCAGTGGAGATTGGTTTTTCTGGAGGGCAGACTGTAGGGGGACTGGAAGATACACGGTATTGATCAACATATGGTTGCAAATAAGGGTGTCTTAGTATCTCAGATGCCTGATCAAAGTTCAAATCTTTTAGGGTTCTGATGAAAAAATACTAATAAAAGAAAATATAAGAGCCTACTACAAGACCTAAGAACACTTACATTTGGTCGATGCTCTGGGTTCTTTCTCAGCATGCTCTTGATAAGTGTCTTCCTGTTTGAAATGACAAGTTACAGATTTTGTGATGGTTCTACAAATGAAATGGTAGAATCATCTATTACACATGATAATGCAAAGCTCAACATAAAGGAAGATGAATAAAAGTAGATTCCTCAGATGACTTCCACAGAAGATTACATTTATATCAACTAAAAATGGTGAAAAATGGTATTGGCAATATTAAGACTTACAAGGAAGAGGAGTAACATGAAGGCAAAGGGCCAATGGAGGAACGGTTTATCTTACTTATTAGTCCTGCCATATCCTGAAACCAGATATATACATCCCGCTTAACTAAATGCTCCAGTAGAAATTTATTGAATTGCAACAAAATCAAGGAATTATAGTATGCACAATTGAGCATAAGAAAAAGTGGAAAACCACTTGTGTTGCAAAACACTACATGTCTACTACAGGATCAAGAACTTCGAAAAGAAAGGGGACTTCCGAATTTTTGATTCATGGAGATTGGCTCTTCATTAAGACTCTTTTTAGCAGCTTTTCATTGGTGAGTAATTGATGTTTCTGTCATTATAAATATATTCATTAATGATTATCTAATACCTCTAGATTGATAGAGGTGACCACTTTCCCATATGGATGAAGAGATCAAATTAAAACCTGATGGCAACTCCTCTAGAAATCCTAAGTCTGCCGGGTGGGTGGCATTCTTACAGGTTTTGCTAGCCAAGAGGTTTGGGCCTTCCCCCCTTGCTACTTGGTTAAGTGAACTAACACAATGCCATTGGATGGGTTGAACTTGTGAAGGTTGCAGGGGCATCCCTGCAAGCCATCCCACTACCTTAATGAGATTAGAGGCACCATTTTAGCCTTTTCTGTCCAAAGGAGATGGAAATCCATAGAGTGCATTTAATATGGTTGCTAATGGCATTGAAAGATCAGGGCTAGGAAGATTTTTACATACAGTGACCAGATTTTTTTTTTTTTTGTTGATGAGAATTGACCTATAGCCTCTTTGCATCTTCTGTACATCCACTTGTGTACTTGAATAATTTTCATAGCTATGAATGTGTGACTACATTTTTCTAGACAAAAATGATATAATACCTCCATATGTAGGGATGGATGGATTGGAAATCGGTTTAAGATGTCAAGTAGCATTTCCTACTTATCCATCTATTGTTAATAAATAGAAAGTGCACCAAAAAGACAACCAGACCCATTGATAGTCTATTCAAGGTTCAAAGTATCAATACACTCTGACGAGCAACTAATAGAACTGATACTCACAGTTTTATTTACTTTGAGTTAATAACCATCTGTCCATTATTTCACACCTACTACTATTTAAGCGTGACAGCAAGTCCCTAATTCCTAGTATTTAGCACATCCCAGGGTTCAAAAACTAATATGTATCATATGATACAGTAATGATGTGTTGTGTCATTTTGAACCTTGAATTTATGTTTTTAGTGGGAGTAGTAAAATATAGTGGCTAATTCTGCTCTTTAATTGTTCCTTTTGGTTTTACTTGCATATTGCAATTCAGTGAGAGAGAGAGATGGAGAATCAAAACATGCTCCAAAGTATCATTTGCTATATTCGTTTGTACTCAAAAAAGATGTTCCATTTATCATTGTAATAAGGTAAACTCATTCCAAAATACCACGGTTCAGGTCTTTGAACCAAAGGGAATGTAGTAAATGGTTTTTATCATAACAATACTCATCAGGACAAATCTAAATCACCAACAATGCTGTCTCAATTCCTCTCCAAATATACCCATTGCTCCAAGACAAGTAGTGTGCAAGAAGTCTTACAAAAGCTTTAAATGCTGGGCGATGAGCAGCCATCTCATACATACAACATCCTGTGAAACCATGAACACATTAAACTAAAGCTAATATCATGGTCAAAAATATCTCAAACATTAACCACAATATGCGTACCTAAAGACCAGATATCAGATTTGAAGCCATAGGGAATATCAGCAAGAAGTTCTGGACACATGTAATTAGGAGTTCCAACTACCTGGACACCATAGGTCAACCAATAATCAATTCCCTGGAAATGCTCCAAGCTTATAATTTCTATATCTTTAACTCTTAAAAATAAGGAAAGAGATCAAAGACAGAATTGGATATAAGTATTGGTAGAATGGGATTGGTTGGGTGTTCCTCCTGGTCTGAGAACAGTAGGAGGCATTTTCTCATTTCTTATTTCTTATGAAACTGTTTTTCTATTTCCAATAAAAAGAAATATTCCAATGATTTGCAGTTTAAACTAATAGTTGTTTTACTGATAAAATCTTAAATCTATTTGTTGGCCTTTTGTTTAGTAAAGTCTTGATATGATATGGAACCAAACCAGAACTAGAAATTCACATTTCTTATTTTTTAATAGTAAATGATTAATGATGTCTAGAGACAAGTAAAGGTAGAGTTCAATATTCATGAAACAATGAAATCAAAACAGTCTTATTTTCATATTACCTAGTGCTTAAATAATTATACCATTTTATTTTGTGTGAAGTTTCAACCAACTTATGGAATAGATTGCTAAATTGTTTGAGGAAATAGACCCCGAGTGCATGAACTTTCACTATTCCACTAGTACCTAAGAAGAACTTGCTTGGAGTCTTCCTAGCCCTTAAAAAGCAATATTGAAAAGGACACTGAGATTACCACAGTAAATTGACATTGGAAAGGAAGCAAGTGTAAATTACAATAAGAGAAATGAAGTAATGAACATACAGAAGAAGCCAAATCATCTGCTTTTAGTGTTTTAGCAAGTCCAAAATCCCCTGGTAAGGACCAAAACATTCATGAGCTGAAACCCAGGATAATAGCTCAGTAATCAGCAAATTTGGGAAAGCACTCCACTTTAACTACAAATTACCAAAATATACTTACCTAGGCGAACATCATGTTCCTTAGTGAGAAATATATTAGAACACTGCCAAGGCAGAATGATGAAGAGGATCAGTACATGGGCTTAGGGGAGGAAAAGAAATTTATCAATCAATTTGCACAAACCTTTAGATCTCGATGTAGAACAAAGTTTGAATGCAGATATTCAACAGCCAAAAGTAGTTGAGTGAACCATTTGCAGAGTTTCTGAAGAACATCATAGACCATCAAGAAAACGAGCATATAATCATAACTTAAAAACAACTAAAGATTTAGCCATAAATAGATCAAGTGAGGATAGTTCCATACCTCCTCTGGAAAGAATGCCCCATTTGCTCTTTTCATCAACTCCGCCCTGTTACAACATAATTCAGGATATAGGTTACCAATCAAAACTATCTAAAATCAAATATTATATGTTTACTCACATGTCTCCGCCTTCACAGTATCCAGTGACAATGCAAACATAGCAACCCTGCATTACAATCTCTTGTTCAAGACCCGAATGAAAAGGGTTAGAGAAAATAGGAAAGAAATTAAGACTAACTCTTACCTTTTCAACCCATGCTTCCTTAAATTCAACAATGTAAGGGTGTTGGATTCGCGCAATGAGAGCCATCTACATTCCAAATTATCCAGAAATGTGAAAAAGACAGCACCCATCCGAGCAAGACCAAAACCAGGTAAAAAAACAAAGCAAATCATGATCAACTCATTTAACTTACCTCTTGATGAGCGGATCTCCTGCAGCGATCTGTCTGTCGTGCCAGCCGGATCTTCTTCAATACATACCTGAAATTAAAGCATCCAAGTGAGACCCGAAAGGAAGTGCAACGTACAAATTTCCCAAAATGAAGAATCAAGAGAGAAGAGAAATAACGGAAGACAGTGAGAAACAAAAGAAGATAGGACTTACTTCTTCCTCTCCAATTTGTGATTAACCAGAATGGCCGCTCCAAAAGCTCCACGTCCAATCTGCTCCATGATCTCATATTGATCCATACGAGATTCCATAATTCCGATTAGTAGGGGTCAAAACAAAATGCCAAACTTCAGATTCAATTCACTGTGCTCTCTCTACAACTGTTTCAGAATCCGTCAATCCGTCAATCAGCTCCAAAGCCTCCCATACCATTTTCCACTCAACACTACCTGATAAGCTCCCTCTTCGATAACTCGTACTTGAACCTCACCATTCTCATAAAAGCAAAATAGACTTAACCTTTAGATCTTGCACGACTCCACTACAACATTCCTCGATCCGAATAAACAGACTGCAATGCAGCTCGCTAGCCCTAATTTTCTTCAATTGGAACTGCATAAGCCCAAATACTCTTACCTTCCTCGATCTACCTACCTCTAATCTCAAACTTCTGCACCAATCTCACAAGTAACCTTCAACCATCTTTACATCTCTCTTGTCTACTCCAAGCTTAATTCCTTCTGCGAATGCTAGAACTATTCTTGGCCAATCCCCATAAATAAAAACTGACTCAAATCAAATTTATCAGGTCATAGAAACACTCAACGATCTTCTGGCATGCAACACTTCTTCAATGTAGGCGTCGTTTAGCAAAAAGAGAGGAAAGTATTCAAATTTTCTCTTTTGGCTTCACTCTGTCCTCCCCTCCTCTCCCTTTTCCTCTTTGGATCTTCTGTCACTCTTTTTCTTTTCCTTTTTCTCTCCTCAGAATTTCTGATGGAGAGAGAGAAGAGAGAGCGGAGAAGTGTTCACACTTCACAGTCAATGCACTTTATAGCAAACCATGGTTAGAATTAGAGAGAGAGAGAGAGAGAGAGAGAGGTTGTGAGTTGTGACTCGAGACCCTTCTGTTCTCTTGAGTCTTGACTCTCGACTCCTGAGTCTAGAAAGATAGAGAGAGAGAGAGAGAGAGAGAGAGAGAGAGCAAGCGAGCATTAATGGAGTTGGCTCAAGACCGAATGGTCCTGCTTCGTTCAGTGCCGACAGTAGTTGGTTCTCCAACTCACTCTGTTCTCAATTTTCTTCCTTCCCACTCCTAATGATACCATACTAGCTACCCTACTAAATCATTCTCTGTGTCCAGGCTGAACCAATCCGGACCGTGTAATCGATGAATGGATTTCCTTTAAGTAGGCCATGCATCAACGTTTAATAATGAGAAGTGAAAATGAAGCAAATAAACAGAAGGCGCGGCTCTTTCAGTTCAGGTGGATTCCGATTTTACGGTTGACAGCTGCTTATCGGTAATTCTCGGACAGAGCAGGAACACTGATTTATCCGGACTATCCTAATAGGGGTTGACCATGACTTGGAGATTTTACAGGATCAGATAAGTCAGCGTCTGTTTTCGTATGGTACATTGAGAAATCTCAGCCCTTCTTTCAGTTGACTCGTGCCTCGTAGGGTTGCAATTAAAGTCAAGGTGACACAGTCTAATAAGATGGTAAAATTTTAGACACATTCTCTTTTTCGCTGGTTTTAATTTGCGCCCAGCCGCCCAGGTGAGCGAGCGGCGCACGGCGTTTGGTTGGAGAGATAAAATAAAAAAAAAAAAAAAAAATCTAAAATTGATATTATTAAGGTTCATTTGGTTCGCGGGAATAGAGGTAGAGTTTATTTCGTTTGCGGGAGCAGAGGTTTGGGATCAGAATGAGAATAATCTATTCTGAGTTTCTGACTGAACAGCTATTCCAGCCTCTCTATTGTGTTTGGAATCTAAATCATAATGTCACATTTTCATTCCAACTGTTTGGTTGGATGGAATGGGATTTAAATTCCCATTCTTGGTGGAATTACGTTCCTCCATTTGAGCCTCCCCCTTAGAAATAAGAATCTCATTCTAGTCGGGCCAAAAGAAAAAAAAAAAAAAAAACAATAAGTGACTTAAACCTTTTAACCATATTTTTCTTTAACCAAGGCCAACCATAGTTAGGAATCATGCGTATCATATAGAATCCAATTACAATTCTTATTTGAACCAAACGGGAAGAATAGATGATTTTAATTCTGATTTTAAGGATTTTGATTCTAACCGTGAATCAAACGGACACTTAGATCTCACATCTTGCCAATTTTCCTTTGTGACATGGTGTAGGATATGTGCATGTACATTAGGAAAGGATCAGGACCTATCACTGGATGGGCCCTATTTGTATGATTGCTTTCTGTTTCTGAAAGGAACAAGTCTGATTAGATTATTAAAAAGGAGAGAGTAAATCCGGCTCTATTACTATTAACAGTACCAGAGATTCTATCTGCAGCTTCGAACGTGATATAAGAATCAGATGGCCAAAGCCTAAAAGATAACCTGATCATCCTTTCTTATTTGTTGGGTTGATGAACTGCTATGTGGTCACATTTGATAGTGGGCCCAAATCTCTATCCATAAAGATACATGAACAAAATATCGTGGGCCCCGTGAATTATCAGACGTCCATGTTGAGTTGGACTTGGACCCAGGCCATCAACCAAGGTTCCCAAACCAGTGATGAATTTGGTCGGAGGTATCAGACATCCATGGTCCATGTTAATGGATGAAAGCCATTTTTGTACTATTTTCCTATTCTCTATATAAAGTCATCTAATTGTTCCGGCTGGTCGAACAGGTGACAGTGGTGTGGACAGCCAACTGGTCCCAGTCAAGGGAGCTTTTCTAGATGGCCCCATCCGGACACATGAAAAATCTGTAAGTCCAAATTGGCTGCCATTCATTTGAAGAGCTGTCTGCTTTAGCCTCGCCACTAAAGTAAACTTGACTGGAAAACCAATTTTTAGACTGAGTGACGGTGTATGTAGGCTTTCTAGGCGTATGCTTGGCATTGATGCTGTTGCTCCAGAAAATGGTGATACATCAGTATCACATTGGAAAAAACAATGCTCCAGGAAACACCAATATGTTTGGAATTATTTTTCCATAAAAAATGGTGCTCCAAGCTATGTCCTAGAAATCAAGAAGGCATGGTTGCAATGTCGAATTTGACATTTTCTCAGATTGCAACTCATTTCTGCTAATGAGGACATGATGTGGCAATGGCGTGGACTTCCTATAATGGGTACTAGTGCTGAAAATAGACATAGAGCACTAGTACCAAATAGAAAATATTGTTGCTCTAGGAAACGCCCTACCTGGCAACAATGTTTCCAAACAGAAAAAGAAACACCATTTTCTCAGAAAACGTTTTCCATTACAACATTGATGCCAAACATATTTTAGATTTTTCACCAACCATAATATATATGATGTGGGAAGGAGATGTTATAGAAAAAGTTTTGACCAATCAAAACTCTCCTATCAATTTTGATAAATAACACTTGATTTGTTATCACATTTATGATTCCAATTGATTGGTCAAATGTTTTTTGGATATCATATATATATATATTTTCTGTATCATAATCGAACCCCACGTTAGCATGTGAATGGGGTAAAAGAGTAATTCACCCCATTGACCAAAAAGTTAAAACATGGGCATGAATGAATTAACTGTCCAGTCCAAAACGCTCTCAACAATTGAAAAGGCAGAAATACATATCTTTAAGACGGAGCAATTTTTTTTTCTCCAAACAGTACCTAAGTTTATATCACTGGACCAGTCAATGAGTTGGCGGACAGATCAACTCATAACCAGCTAAGATGGCTTGATTGATGATTTGTATGGGTCTGCCAAATGCTGCATAAATTATTTGAATTGGGTATTTCACTTGTATCCCTATTTTTTCTGTCTATGTGTGTTTTTAGTATTTTTTTCAAAATATCATAAAATTACAATATTTTATATACTTTTTTATTAAAAAAATCTCAAGATCCCCCTTTAAGTAGGCGTATCAGAGTCAAAAGATAAGATATGAACCTTGCTTCAATCCATGTTAATTTTTGAAACATTGATATTCTAAACCCAAAAACTAAAAACACTCAAGTAAACCTACTGCCTTTTGAAAAGCAAAAACGGGAGTGCACGTTCTGTGCATCCGTGGGTGCACTGGACGCATGTACCCACCAATCACAAGCGACCACGTCAGCATATTAAAAAATGCTTAAGACGCAAAAGGAAAAAAAAAAAAAAATCTTAAAACACATTTTTAATTAACCTGCATGTTCGATCTCCCTCACCTAGAAGCATCCACTAGCGATCTCATTGCACATCGACAACGGTGACTTACCGAAGGAGTCCAAGGAGCTTCACTGATCGAAGTGATTCAGAACGTCTGAAGCTAGCCAGGACATGATCACCAAGTGGTACATGATGTCGTGAAAGTTGACAGCCTGTGAAGCAGCTCAGAGCGAATCGAGGCCTCGGCCGTGCCATTGCTGATGCAGAATCAGATTTTTCCCTTGTCTTAACATATACTCTGCAAAAACACCTGGATTGAAATCCCTCCTTGCTACTCCACCCCTTATTGATTCCAAGAATAGCCTCAAATTGAGCCCCTTGTTCAGTTAACACCAATATAATCCTTCTCTCAATCCAAGTAACATCGACCTAACCTTTATTTGGGTTGCAAGCTTACAGCTCTGCCCACATCTAGCCTCGCCCACATGTGTTGGCCTCCCCACAATTTCAAAGCAATGGGGACAACCAATTCACCACTGAATATGTTGGAAAATGGGGTCACTGTAATTTTGGAGGAGAAGCTCTAAGGTGCGTCTAAAGATACTGTCTTTAGAATGTTATTTGCCCCCACTTAGTTTCACCGAGTTTGTTGTTGGGTTACAGGCAAATTCGTTCCCAGTATACAATAGAGTCTTCGACGAGAATCTGCAACCAGTAAAGTTGAAGAATCTCCGAAGAAACCTTTTGTGAAACTGTAGCAGACCGGATTGAGAGAGAGAGAGAAAAAGTGGATTTCAAAATTGTGTATTTTTGAAGTCTGATTCATGCTCCTTAAATAGTTTATGAAAAAGTATGAAGAAAAGGTAGGTACTGGTTTAGAAAAGGCACCTTGAACAGTTGAATTGTGCCTCTTGATCAGACCCAATCGAATCGTGACCGTTGATATCATCAATGGTGATCAACGGTCAGCATCGCACCAAAACCAAAGCCGCCTTTGGCGAGCCACGCGGATGCGCACGAAGTGCAAGCAAAGTGCGCCTCTAAAGCGCCTCATTGCACTGCACACATGCGCTCCTGCTTTTTTTTTTCTTTTTCAGTTTTTTCTATGAAGTTTCATGAGGCCGTTCCCTAGTGATTCTTGGGTCCACTTCGGCATACCAATCTACTAGTAACAAAGTTGGTGTTTGCAGATAAAAACATATACCTCTTTTTCCTTTCCTTCTCCAATCTCCAATCTCCACTCAAACTCCATTCGTTTGATATGTTCAGAACAATAGGACCAAGTTTCTGGTATGATCTCCTCATCTCTCTCTCTCTCTCTCTATTATTGTTTTCTGATTTTGTTGTATTCATTTTGTAATTTCAAGTATTTGATTTTCTTGCATTCGCCAATGTCCTTCGGTTCCCAAATCTATCCTTCAATCAATGGTTATTGATTAGTTTAACCTTAGATCTAGTTCTCTGTTTTTCTTCGTTTTAAAGTTTTTCTATTTAGGTTGCTGATGCGGCACGATCCAGGCACTCCTACCTGGCTACTGAGTAGCTCCTACCTGGCAATGGACAGCACCTGAGAAGAAGAAGATGAAGGACTCCTGGGGGATTTGCCCAACGGGAATACTCCGAAGCTTAAGTTATAACGCTGGGGAGAAAGCAAAGAGTGTAAAGAGGCTAAGAGTGTAGGTCGTGCTGGACCACTGAGTTCTCAAGATTAGCTCGAGAGTAAGTTTCAGATAGGTCCCTGATGTTCGAGAGAGAGCTTTCCCTTTTACTAGGGTGCTCTTATATAGGTGTTCTTGTCAAATTAGGCGTAACCACCACTGGGCTTTTGTCTCAGCCGTTACTTGCCAGGGCTGTGTAGGTGACCGCTGTAGGGTCTACTCAATTGGATGGGTGACACGTCCTGGAAGGACAGGCACGCCACCATCTATCGAGAGACGTGGGTACAGTCTGCCGAATGGATAGGGACTGTGTC